GAACTCATACTTTTAGTAAGAAACCGTGTCGAAGGTGGCATTAGATTGGATAGTATTCTTGGGTATCATATTGCTGATTAGGTTGTATGTAAAACAAGATGACAGTACATCTAAAATGCCGTCACTGTGTATCAAAACACACTAAATTCCCTTTACTTTCCCTACTTCCATACCTAGAAGATAACAAACGTGCAGCATTCCATACGTTGCTGATTAATAGTTCCCACTGATTGTTACCGATGTAGGAATCTGAGCCGCGGTCGTCATTATGTGCTCAGAATGTAAATGTCAGCGTACAATTAGCAGCCGTAACGAAGCCGGTATGCCGAGTGAAGGCAAATTTCGAGCGCGCAGTGGCCGAGCAACGAACAGCGGAAAGCCGGATCACAATCATAACGGTGTAACTGACTCGTTAGCGGCTGCCCACCTAATTGGCCCAGATGCTAACGAGCCTCTTAAAGAGTGTGGATAGAGGGAGGGGAGGGACTCAGGAGGGGAAGGGGTGAGAGGTGGGCAACAGAGGTGGTGGTGGTGGGGAGGGAGGATAAATAGAGGAGGGGGTGCATGACAATTATGTTAGGAGTAAGGGAGGAGGGGGAGGAGAGGAGTGAAGGAGGGGAGGCAGATGGGAAAAGGAGAGGAGTCAAGTAATGAAAGATGACGTGAAGGTTTTTCACTGAAAGGGGTTATTATGACCAAATGGAAAGGAATGAAGCACAAGAAATTAAAAGAAAGAAGAAGAAGTAAAATCCAAACACTGGACGATGGGACAAAAAAAGAGAAACGGTAGCAAGTTACAAACTGAGACGCCAATACTTTGAAAAAAAAATAAAGGCGGCACATTCATGTCATGTATTTAAAATGATAAACAGGGTATGAATAATATTGATGGAGTTTAAAAGATGTCCGACAGTGTGATCCCTGTTTCCCAGTTGCTCTTTTTGGCTCGTGACTCTGAAATAAAGACGTCAAAGCTACAAACAGGTCGCAGCTGTTGTCAAAGGTTTTGCAAATGACTTCGGAAACAGCCGTCTGTTGACGCTATGGGAGCAAACGGTAAAGCTGCAGGTATCCTTCCAGAGATGATCTTTCATTATTTCCAGTTGCTCTTTGCTGGAGGGGATTTGTTGCTCTGCCTTTTCCTTTAAAANTTCCTCTGTCTGTTTCCTTGCCTGTGTCAGAACGGAGTCTGTAGCTGAGAAGATGCTGACCAACTGGTTTACGTTCCTCCTGTATAAGTTCCTCAAGGTAAGGCGCCATCGTTTAATCACTTCATCCAACACGCCTGGCAGTAGTTATCACCTGAAGTAGATTTATATTGTGCAGCGTGTTAGCTCGGTTAAGGGCCTCCTGGCTGGTGTTATTTCTCCATTGCATTAATCTCACTGTGGTTATTAAAAGGCTTTTCCCTGTTTGGCTGCACATTTCCTCGCCTTAGCTATGCAGTACACATACGGTGGACCATCAAAGCCTCTCAGCAGCAGGCTTTTCTTCTCGTCTCCGCTTCATGAAGTCTCTTGTTTTTTTTGTTCTTTTTTCGGATCCTCTCCCCTCGCCTAATTTTTACTCTTGTAGCCGACACGTCCTCCTCACTGATCTTTTTTTTTGTTGTTCTTTTAGCTCACATCTTCTCTCCCTCTGATCTCTCTTTCATCTGTGTCGTTTTTCTGTTGTCATTATTCCGCTGTCAGTCTCCCCTCTGCCTTAAGGTCATTTCGCCTCACCGGGGGGTGGGATGTCGCTCACGCCTCCTTCCCCTTCATCCTCTCCCATCCCTCGTCCCCTCCTCGCGTCTCTCGCCGCTACAGAGCCGGCATAACCCCGGCACGCCAGGCAGTGTTTTCTGATGTGTCTCAGCGGTTTCACGTCTCCCTCTTTGCACTTTAATTACACATTGCAACGCTGGAAGTTGTCCTCATAAGCCGTCTACGATTCCACAGTTTCATTCGGTAGATGCTTTTATCCGAAGCGACGCACGTCTGAGAGCAGATGCAACACAAGCAAGGATCTAGTCAGGAGAAAACAATCTGGATAAGTGCCGTAGAACAAGTTCAAGTGTGTTAGGGCGTTGACGCCAAATAGAAGGCTGTGTGGGAGGTAATAGGATTTTTTTATTTTTTTTATTTTATGTTTTAATTTTAATTTTGTTGTATTTTTCATTTTATGTTATTTTATATATTTTTANGAAAGGTCATTAAATATATAAATATCTATTGTGTGTGGTGTCAGCATTGTTTCTTCCTGTATTGATCCCACATGTGGGCTTTTGGAAAAAATATTGTTCATGTTGATTCGACATCTTCTCATTCATTAAAAACAAAAATAATATTCGAAGAAATTCAACGTCGTTCCGTCACAGAAGACATGTTTGAGTCCTCTCTAGAGGGCTAAAGAGTGGAATAGAGATGCTTTCATATACAGAATTGATCTGTGCTGCCTTTCGTGTGTGTTCTGACTTCCATCTGTCGCCGTGTCTTTCTTCAGGTCCAGGCAAACGTGGAGAAGGCTCTCACACTGTTTGGCCAGCTGCTGACGAAAAAACACTTCCTGCTGACATTCATACGGACTCTGGAGGCTCAGAGGTGTCCGTCTCCTCCTTCTATATTCATTTCTTCATATGTTTTTAGTATCCGAGATGCTCTGAAATTAATTTTTAATGTTAATTTTATTAGAAATAAAACAAACGTTGTTGTTCCATTTCAACAAAAAGATGATTTGTTTATGGAAAGTGTGCTTTTATTAAAAAAAGGCAAATTTAGAAAAGAGGCAAAAACATTTTAACAGCTCCAAAATTACCGGAAAGCACTTAGCCAAATGGTTCATGACAAAAACAGAGCTACAGCAGCTATTAATTAAGATTAAATATGCATTAATATTTAAATGAATTGCTTTTAGGTTAATGGTGCAAGTCCAGACGCAGCTGTAGACGTGGAACAACAAGCATTTGTGAAGCGTTTGTGCTACACTTCTAAGTCTGAATGTGTTTCCAGGTCATTTTCAATGCGGGATCGAGGCAATGTGGCATCTCTGATCATGACAGCCCTGCAGGGGGAGATGGAGTACGCCACCGGAGTCCTGAAGCAGCTGTTGTCTGACCTGATAGACAGAAACCTGGAGAGCAAGAACCATCCCAAACTGCTGCTCAGGAGGTGAGCAAGATGTGGAGAGACGGGAACAAACACCCGGCGCTCTGTGCAACATCAGGCAGGGGTTCAGTTACAATCCACTCATCTATTCAACTCTAGGTTTTTCTTTAAAGATCCAGTTTCAAACTTTAAAAAAGAAAAACCTGCATGTAGTCCTGGGTGTCCCCTAATATCATGATGTTAATTAATAAGAACAGAACAACTCTTTTGTGCAGCTTTAATCGGACGTCATGTGTCTTTATGCCACGGTGGTTTCCTCTGATAATCAAATCAAATTTAATATCACAATAAACAGACTTTTCAGCAAACAGAAACCAGTTTGTTTGGCATTACAGTTACCTTTAAAGAAGTTAGTCATGAGATAAAAGGCGTTAAATACGAAGGAAATGTGCAAAACGTTGATCTTTCATTGGTCTACAGATGCAGAAAACAACACAAAGCGCTTAACAAATGTATTAGACGACCACTCAGTGTAAGATTTATACCACAGCTGCCCTACATTAACAGCATTGGTAATCACTAAAGTCATTTCTGTGATGGTTAATACACCAGTATGTAGAAGCTCTTTAACCAAAATGATGTTTTTAATGCTAAAATATAATTATTGTTATTGTTACCAATGAATTTTCAGATTTACTGTTTTACAAAAATGCTGAAAAAACACTAAAGCACATTATAGTTATTTACTTACATTCCTGAACAGAAAAAATTAGTTTTAGTGGTTGAATGTGATGCTTGATTCATTTCTCAGAGAAGCCCAGTGGCTCATATCTGGGTATAAGAAGGTGAAATCAAATTCCTCATTCCTGTTCAAAATGGTAAAACGTGGAGAGCTGAGCTGCATTAAAGCACCTCATGATATATAGAATAATAATAACAATACATTTTACTCATAAAGCACTTTTTCCGAATGCTCAAAGACGCCACACAGTGAATAAAAACAACAAATTGAGTACATTTAAACACAATCGTACATTAAAAGCATGAAAGTGGACA